CATAGCTGGAGCATAGGACTCAGCAGGAGCCGCCCAGCCTGGTCCAGTCCCAAGGACTGGGATGATCACCCGTGGCCCTCCCCCCTAAGTTCTTATCTGAATTTCCCTCTCCGGCACAGGGAGGCAGGAACAGCCCCGGGGACCAGGCTAGAAGACTCTGCTAAGCGCAGGGCTTCTGGATTGGGTTGGGGTGGGGCTGGGCAGGCTAGGCCTTGCTTCTGGGCTGCTGGGTCCTGTGGGCTTCCCCTGAGTCCTACTGCTCCTGGCTCCTGTCATCTTTGACAGGCAGCCAGGAGCAGATCAATATTAATTTTCTAATCTTTTAGAAAAAAATAGGCCTGATAGATTGGGCTAGCGGGCCGAATCTGGCCCGCAGGCCGTATTTTGCCCATCCTGATCTAAAATTTGCAGATCAGATCATGTGAGGCACCTCCTCTTTCTTCAGTTTGCTGCTGCTTTTTCAGTCTGTAGTACTTGAACAGAGCACATAGGTGTAGTCACTGCCTTCTGAAGCACCTGGTAAATGGACACTTACAAGACAGAAAATGGACAGGTATACTGGCTAGTAAGCAATACATAAATCAGCATAGGCAATAATGCTGCTATGGATTAAAGCTAGCTTCAGTTTAAATAACAAAGTAGCAGTTACGAGGGTCAGTGGTGAATATGTAGAAGGGATTCATTTTTAAAAGCAGAAAGGTGATATACACACATCTGGGTTATACCTCCTAGAAGCCAGCAGCTTACTTGCTTGACCCATGTGTTTCAAGGTATTATAAACCTATATAGTATCTGTACCATCTGTAATGTCCTATGTCAAGCAGCCTTGCCTGAAGTCTTAAAGGGAGTCAGTAATTGGGTCATACCAGCAGGCTAATAAGCTGTCTGACTAGATACTAATCAAGCACTACACCCTGCAGCAAGCCGTGTCTGCTTCATCCTTTCTCAGGATACAGGTTATTGAATAGGGTTGTTTGAGATAGGCTTAATTTCCTTCACACCTGCACATAATAGGACAGATTCTAACCTGTGCTGTACAGGAGTAAGCCTGGAGAAAGTCTTTTAAGGACAATGTAGATTTACACAGAGGTAACCGAGACTAGGTTTTGAACAGATACGTTGACAACCTGCCATGCCTGACAGAAGGAACAGAGAGGGAATATGGGAACAGAGAAAGGAGGCAGAATGTAGAAAGGTTGTTCTAAAAAGTGTCTAGTTGAAAGGAAAAAGAAATAAAACTGAAACCCAGCAATTTAATGTTTCACAACCATTTTTGTCTGAACAATGTACTTTCCAGGTCGTAGGGCCTGCAAAGTTACACTCTGTCTGGACACCTGCGGCTCCTAACTAGAGTTTCAATTTCACCTCAGCAACTCAACTAAAAAAAAAAGCAGGAAAAATGGATAGCTAGCCTCAGGCATTTCTATACATAGTGATGAACACGGTGGCTGTAGCTAGACAGGCAGTCCTGGCCACCTCATAGCCTCATCTTATGGCTAGTTCAACCTTCAGGTTCTCATCCAGTGTTCCCTGCTCCGCTTACGCTTAATTTGCATTGACATTTTAGTGATTTCTTTGCAAAAGGTGGTACCCAAAGAGGGAGAGTTTAAAAACATTATTCTAACCATTCAGGATCTTAGCTCTGTGGTGGAAAGTCCACGAAGTTATGTGATTGAGGCTCCCGATTGCAATGGCAAACATCTAGCACAGGGGTCAGCAATGTTTTTGGGCAGAGTGCCAAAATGCTCCAAGCTCCATTTGTAAGATGTTGGTATGCTAGGGATGGACAGTGGGGGAGCTGTGAAGGGCCTGATCCTTGTTGTGGCAGCACAGCCCCATCCCCTTCCCTGCTGACAGCCCTAAGGCACACGTGCCGAGCAAAATGCCTTTACACGTGCCAGGAGTTGCCAACCCCTGATCTAGCATCTAGCCTCCCTACAGCCTTCCACTTCAGGCAGTTCCATACAAACCAGGAGTAGTACAGAACCTAAGAAGGAATCAACCAGTGGGTCTGACTTTCCAATGCCTTACACCTTGTCCATGAACTTACACCTGCACTGTAGTAGCATTTCACACTCACCAGCATTCACTGTTACTCAGGTGTAAAGCCAGATCCCCAAAGGTATTGAAATCAATGGAATTTAGGCACCCAAATAGGAGTTAGGTGTCTAAATACCATTGTGGATTTGGTCTAAGTCAGGACAAGAGGCAAAGCAGAGGAGAATCAGGTCTCGTGGTTCCCTAGGGAGCTCAGTCTTTCTCTGCAGAGCTCTCAGTCAGCATATACTCCATACCACTCAGCATGGGAACACAAGCACTGAAACCTTACAATACTGCTTCCATCTGTCTCTGAAAGGAGCAGAACTTTGTGACCTGAGGGACCCCTGCAGCTGCATTTGGCAGCAATGTCTGATTCAGCCCAGCCAAGGTCTACAAGGTAACCACTTTTATCTTCTTCAGGCGATGAGCAAGGATGTTGAAAAATTAACAAGTATGTGCTGCTTATATGGGAATTTTAGCAGAAGGAAATTGTGAGGGAAAACAACAAACAAACAGTGCCAGTGAGCACAACATGAAAAACTTTTAACCTTTACAATACAGATCCTGAATGCTTGTAATTTATGGGTGAACCCTCTAATTGCATTAAATCAGCAGGGATCCTGGTTTTCTCTGATTAAAATGTGGATTTTATGTTACTTTTTTAAATCTGAAAATTGGGGATTTTTTTTTAATCGGAGAAAACCAAGATCCCTGCTGGTGATAACTAATGCAGTCAGAGGGTTCAAAAAAACCACAGCAGGATAGTACCTGTATTTACCAGTACTATGCTGCTGTGGAGTTAATTAGTTTCTCCAGCCTAATAGGGGCACATATGTGGACATGCAACATTTACTGCACAGCTAATTAGTCTAGTCCACAGTGAACATCTCATGTAGATGAGCCTAGTAGGTCAGTGCTGGCTATGCACTGTACCAGGAGCCTGGGCAGCACAGAGCCACCTAACTCAGGACTTACATTTCCATAAGGCAGTGGACAGTCTAGGGGTTCAAATCTGGTGCTTGGGCCTTAATTTTTATAAAAGTTTCTCTCATCCAGTCAATGAAACAGAAATAATCCCTCATGACTTAAATGACCAGTCATAAATATCACAGTATTCATTAGTCTAAGGCATTATTTTAAAATAGTTGCTTTGACAACTTCTAACCTGAAATGAGTTGGCAGAAAGCATTTGAAGAATTTCAAATGACAAGTTAATAAAGAGATACTGATGCTGGAAAAATTTATGAACAGAGGAAAGATTAAATTTCATCAGCCAGGCTTGCTCAATTTTCTTGAAGCTTTCTTGAAAAAAATCTCAGCACCTTGTTTAGAACTGCAAGGAGTATCTTCTGTTCTAATTTTAGAGCAAAACTTAAGAACTTAGATGTGTATATCCCCACCTTATTCTTTTTCTTCTCTGCATGACTGCTGTTCCAGAATTTCACAGTATCCTGCATATTTATCTATTCAAGCTTTTTACAAAGATCCTCTGCAGTCTGGCAGCAACAGTATTGCAGTATTGATTTAGGAACTAGCAGTTGTGACAATTCAGTCACAGATTGAAGCTAGCTCTGTATGTGGGCTGCTCTGTCCTGAGCAGAATTCTGATCCCAATTGCTGGTCTCACATTTAAAAAAAAAAAAAAAAAGAAAGCTACTTTTATCTGTTATGCTTTGAAGGGAAAAGGATTACAAAGACTAAATAAGCCATCTGAGTACTTAGCTAACAATCCTAAATAGCACCCTGATAGGAAGTTCTGGCAGGGAGCTAATTAAATTAGCCCTCTTTGATTGATTAACAAGCACAGCAACATATCACACAGGCTTGTCCCACAAAATGAACAAGCATTTTGATCCATGTGTTTGCTATGGAGCTTTTGCTCACCACCAAGCCTGGTTATGGGACCCATGTTTAATAAATCTTTTTGGCTTGAGCAAGGTCCCTTACCCACCAAGGTAGAGCTATATTGGTCATAACATACAAAAAACATGTTATTTTACATGCACACTCTTGATTAGTTTTTTTTAATGTTTTGGACAATCTAGTGGTTAATTAGTAATTTGCTGCCTACCAATATGCAAATGAATGACAAGGAAAGGCCTTTTGCATCTGTAATTATTCTGTTGATTTACAAGCCACTTTTCCTTCAGTGTTAGTGTCTCTGTGTGTGTGCATTCATGCATCATGTATTTCATTATTTTTAGAAGCATGCTCTGTGTCTTTTTATACTCTCCTAGTTCCAAGCATCCAGTAATTACTGTTTTGGATGCTACAGGACTGATCCTTCACCTCGTATGAGCTCAGAGGAGCAGCACTCACTTAAACAGAGGAATGCCAATGCACACCCCTCACCCTACCTTTTTAGGAAAAATGTATTAGTGTGCTTGGACTCTCTTTGCTGGGAAGTAGTTGGAAATAAGATTTAGAAAGCAGCAGGGTGACGAAAATCCTAATCGCAGTGCACATGCACACACACACGCACATAGATTTATTTATATAACCAAATTGACTTCTGCTTAATCCCAAAAAAGAAATTGTAATTCTCTCCTAATATTTGATTTTTCTCTAAGATGCTTTTGTAAGTAAAACACAGAGTCTACTGAATCTATTTTGCTACTTTTTAACAGTTTTACTGGTGGGTTTTGTCAGTGCTTTACATTTAGCATTGGTATTAGAGAGCTCTTTTGTTACATTAAGTCAATTAATAAATGGAGACATTAAGCAATCAATTTTGTCTGCATATCTCCACAGCATTACGTATGGCTGGCTGTAATCACAAGATAAATGCAATGTGCTGATGTATGGTAATGTTCAATAATACATTCTCCACCAGGCTCAATTCATCAGGGAGTTTCTGTAGGGGAGGCATTTGTTATTGGCTGTCTCTGGACCTCAAGGATAACATTTCTGTCCTTTTGATTGGCTGACCCACTGCTGCAAGATTCTAACCATCTTATTTTGATGATGAATATGAAGGCATGCTAAGCTGTTCAGGAGTGTAGTTCTTGCAGCCTGCACTCCTTTCCTAGTCTCAAGGACTAACAGTCTCCTTCACTGCTTTCCTTACCATCCAACAACAACAACAACAAAAGTTGTGATGCTTTTCTTCACCCAGTGTTTTGGGGCTGTATTAGATCTTATTCACCTAAGGTTTCAGCACTACAAGGCTAAGAGGGTTTTCTCAGCTGCTGGGCAACTTGTCTGTGTTGTAAACCCGACACACAGCCTAAAGGTGAGTTAAAATATTTTTTTCTGTTCCAATCTTTATGCCTGCCTAGTCTGTTGTTTTTTTCCACAGGGAGCTAAGTGATGTTTCAGCACGATAATAGATGCTGTTGTTAACACATTGCAGTCCCGGTGAAGAGGCTGTTTGTGTTGTCTTTTTGAGTGTTTTACTTCAGAGCAAAGGGAAAGCCATCAGTTCCTAAAAGCAATCCTGCAAAGTTCTTACTTCAGCTAATATTTTTGCCTTCTTTCATTTGTGTAACAGAGATTCAAGAGACAAATGTTTGGCAAAAGAATTAGAAAAGTTCGATGAAAATATTTCCTTTCCTAAGATATTACTAATGTGATCCTAGAAATCCTTCCAAACTGTCTCACACCGGAGTACAATGTACTGATGACTAGCAACTGAGAAGGAGTAGGGAAAGAGTACTGCTTTTTATTGCTGAAAAGTGCTTCTACATGTTTTCCAAGGGGAATCTGAACACCTTTTTCCGGCATGTCAAGCGTCCTTAGCCATTTGCAAGGTGAACATATTTTAGGCAGAGGAGAATAAATTTGCCTTATAGCAAAACCATTTATAGCAACCATTAAAATCCTCTTGCTATAATCTCTTATTTATAAATTTCTAGATTTTCATTGGCAAACTGGCAATAGCGGTGTCTGTGCCAAAACCGGATGGTTACAATCCCATGCAGAGAAGAGCCAAACTATTAACAAGAAAACAAACTACTGGAAGTTTCAAATTTAATTTATCATAGCAGTAAATTAGCAGCTTTGACAATGTGCATCTTGATTTGAGGAAGGTCCTCACAGACCTAACTTCAACTCCCAAGTGTCCTGGTATAGTATGTGCTAGGCTTGTGCAAACTGAGGGATGAACTCTTCCAGGAGAGCCCCTTTGTTTTGGTTGGGTTAAGGTCTTCATCAGGAATTCGGAAGGGAATCTCTTCCCAGCTCTGGGCTTCGGGGGAATAGTTTGATATGACAGAAATCTCCTTGAACCTTGGTTAATGCTATCATGATCATTTTTTCTTATTCCAGAAAGTTGCACTCACATAATGCAAGCTTCTAGGAATGGTATTTGTAGTGTCAGACAACACTACAAATACTCACACTGAGAGGGAGACGTCACTCATAGAAGTACAGCCGTTCCTGGAGGACATGCTTCTGAGCACACTGACAACACAGAGGGAGTCCTCTGCAGTTAAGATGAGATAGGCAGGGCTGGCATTCAAAGACTGCAAAGGGACTTTTTTACTATTACTTCATTTCACTTCTTACTTAATCATGTATGGAGCGTTCCCCATACCAACGTAAAGGTATTAAAAAATTCAGTTGTGTTGCTAAGGTTGGGGAGATAGTGCTAGAGATTTTAAGGCATCTTGCTGAAGCACCAGGGGTATGCAGTCCAAGCCTCCCTCTAGACCAGTAACTCTCAATCAGGGTGCTGTGACACTTAGCTGTGCAAACATAATTCATAACATAAACCCAGCGATTTCAAGTAGGAATCCACAGTGTTAAAATCATTCTGTCCTGTTGTGGTCTTTGAGTTCTTTGCAACAGAAGAATTGATCCATTATTTTTTCTGTAGTCAAGAAACAAGTGAAAAAAGATCTTCACATTTCTAAGTGAATAAAGGATATTTTTGAAAAATGAAGATTGTAGACAAACCATCATGATCTGTTGGTGTCTTGCCACTTTGAAATGCAATTCTCCTTTTTTTTTTTTTAAAAAAAAGAGGAAATGAGTATCCTATGCTTTTGCAGTTTTAGGTACAAAAGGGGAAGAAGGGCCTTCTAGAGAAACCAGTCCATCAAGGTGCAAAGGGGTTGAGTGCCCACTAAGGCAAATGTAGTTGAAGCTGTTCAGTACCTCACAGAAATAGCCTCCTTTCTAATCAAAGTAATTTCTATCTGGGTGGTGGTCCTCTCTTTGTACTTTCCAATGCACTAGGATAGGTTGGCATTTCTACTTTTCATCCCTATAAATGAATGGCATTTCACCATACTGGAGTTGTATTAGGATGAAGTTCTCCTTGGGTTTGATCCAATACCCACTGGAGCCAATGATAGTCTTATTTACTTCACTTCGGATCAAGCCCACTATGCAAAGCACTTGTTGACGTAAACAGGGGTTTTGTTTGGGGTAGAAATGCTGGACTGAACCACTAATGAAAACTCACATTTACTTCTGTGAGTGTTGCCTATATATCAGTCTTGTGGGATCCAGCCCAACAGGTACATTTCATTATATACACTGCAGAGGGAAATGGGTCAAGAAATTATTTCAGTTTGAAAAAAAAAAAAAATGACTGCTAAGTAAAATGGCCATCAAAGTTTCTTTTTTGTATAGGATCTAATTTTTGCTTGGTAAAATTTAGAAAGAATACTGTTAATATTAACACATCAGAGGTTTCTATTTTTAATCTTCTTCTTCCTTATAATTATTATTAAACAATTACAGAGTGGCTGAGGCTCATTACATTAGGCACTATACAAATATGTAATAAATTGAGTTATACAAGGTATGAATTTTAGAAATAACATGTCCTGATATATTAATGTACAAACTGTAAGAAAATGAATGTGTTGTCCTTGGGCGACTTACAGTATTATGGAAACTCTCATGTTTCATGGTTTGCTATCCATGCCTTGGCCAATCAACTGTAACTTGTGTTTCCTGCTAACCCTAAAACGGGGGTGGCAAAACTACAACCTGTGTGGCAGGTGGCAGACTGGGGATACGGCAGGGAACAGCAGATGGGACAGGGAGCATAAAACAGAGCAGCAGATTGGGTGGGGAAGAGGATCAGAATGACACTCATGGAGGGTGCCATTCTAGGGCTAATCTGTGACACTCCCTCTGTTCTAGAAGATCTTTTAAAAATATAAAAATAAAGTGAAAACTGTATTAAGGCTGCACTCTGTAACAATGAATACACGCCAACATGGGCGACTGGTGCCACCTTAGTCAGGGGGAGGCATGTGCCCCCCCCAGCAACCAGTCAGTGACTGGGGGGGGGGAGGGAGTTAGTCCCCCCATGGCCAATCTTGATGACCAGGGGCGGGGGTGGTCCCTCCATGGCCAATCTCACCAACCAGGTGCAGGAGATCCTCCCACAGCCAATTTCACTGACCGCAGCTGATCATGCTGACCAGGAAGTGGCCGCGGTGCCTCATCTGGTGCCCCCGCTCCCTGACTGGCACTTGCTGCGGGGCTTCAGAGCTCCTGCCTGCCCCCTCTGCCTGTCGCCTAAGCAGGGAACATGGCCTCTCAGGGAGTGCACGTGCACCCCCTATGCATCACCACTACACACCGATGTGGGAACAAGGGCCATAAGAAAAGTAATTTTTCCCTGCCAAAGTTGCAAACATTTCTTCTTATGTTAAAACTGTGAGCTCTTATATTGGGATTGTCTTATTACATACCTGTATAGCTCCTTGCAAAAGGGGTCCCTGGTCTGGTGGCTACTTAAACACAAATAATAAATAACAGGGCTTTAACATATTTTTTGGTGTATGATCATGTACTTTGACACTTCCTAGTGGCCAAAACCTTCAGCCAGTGCATATCTGCATAACTCCACTGAGAACAGTTTTTACATCAGGGCCTTGATCATCGCCATAAAAATCAATAAATGTAGAATCAAGTCCCAGCTGAGAATCTGTAGCTGTGCAACGTGTACATGTTGCACGATTCAGTGGGTCTGTTTTTACCAAGATGTTTATTGACCAGCGCAGTGCAGGGAAGTGCTGTTGTACTCATTGCTGATGTGCTGTGGTAAATTTTAGAGACTTGCCTAGTGAACTTGACTGAATTACTTCAGATTCATTCCTGTGTATTGTAACTGAGACCAGAATGTGGGCCATTGACTGTAGTGAAAGTGCTTCCTTACTAACCCCTTCAGTGTAAGTCTATATTTGGCAGCAAAATACACATTTAGAAACACATACCTTTCCTCAGGCAGAAAAGACTGTTAACTAGGAAGGCTCAGAATCCATTTAGTGTATTTATAAAATTTGAAAATGTCAATGCAGATAGCTGTATTGATCCACAGTCATTTTTCCTTCTTATGACAGACTAACACAGGCAACTCATAACAAGGACAGACAAGATTACAACCATCACCCTCAATTTTCTGCATTTGGTGTGGGTATAAATAGGGTTTTTGGAACCTGTTTCTCTTTCCTACAGCTCTTTGCACTTTGTCCTTTCACAAGCTTTCCCAAGAATGCTAACAGCATCTTGAGACCAGAGGCATATGCTGGGCTGTAATCAAAATGCACTTGCTGAGCAGAGAAAATCATGTATTTACCATGCTTCTATAGGTCACCTTCATTCTCAATCATATTATATCCATTACTTCGTAACCTGGGATTCGTTCAAGCAGACAGGCACTCCAAAGCTCCCCTTTGAAATAAAAGGCACGAGCGTTATTATGTAGCTAGACACTCTAGCTAAACAATTGCACTCTTGAAGCCCATCATAATTAAAAAGGATTGCTCAAAGTAGCCATACTTATTGCTCTGGATAAAGGACCTTAGCCTACTGTGCAAGTTTTAAGTACTCCTCTCTTTTTCTTTCTTTCTCCCTGTGGAACAAAAATGGAATATGTGTTGGTTTGTGTATAAAGTAAGGTCAATGCATGTCTCCTTTCTTCTCCAAATGTTAACTTCACTGCAGATTTACCAGCCCCCGATACCCTCTTCCCCACTGAAATACCGCTAATCAGACTAGAAAAGGGGTGGTGCAAGTATTAGACCCTTCATGTCTTCAGTTCACAAGCAGAACATAGGAAGGAGGGACATTTTAATCATAACCCTTTCTTAAATCATTCAAGCTCCATCTTAAAATTAGTTAGATTTTTTTGGCCCTCACTATGCTGATTGGGAGGCTGTTACACAACTGTGCTGCTCTGATGGTTTGGAACTTCCTTCTAATTTCCAGCTTAAATTTATTCATGGCCAATTTATATCCATTTGTTCTTGTGCCAGCATTGTCCTTTAG